ATACCACATCCTGTAGTATAGACTGGCGGTCTTTCTTTTATATTATATTTTTATTTCTACCCGAAGTCAACTCCTGCTTCAGTCCATTTATATACATAATATTTCTCCCTGACTTTCGGCAAGCTGCGAAGAATGCACTGTGCCGAAGACAAATACAGAATCCAGAACCAAACAGACGACAATCGTTTGCGGAGTTGCAGCCAATACCACTGAGGCCATTAATAGTAGCGCCTGACAGAAGAAGGCGACATTCTGATAACGAACAAGAACTATAGACTAAAGATGTCAAAGTACATGCAAAGAAAACTAAACAAATGCGTTGTGAGAATGAATTAAAATCAGAGTGAGCAATGAATCAAGCTTTTGGACAAGAAGTAGATGTTAAGATGACAAACACGTTGTCTTTGGTAAGATAAGTAAAACGTTAGTGTAGTGCGTTTTATCTCGATTAATAGTCAACTAGACGATCAGCGATCGTTTACATGGGCTTCCTGTGGTATATCACAATCAGTAAATGATATTGAACCCTAATGAAATTAATATTACTATTAAAGACAACAGCCAAAAAAGTTTTCCTTTAATGAAATATAATCAAACAAGCAATGTACTTAAAAATAGTAGAATTTAATAATATTGTGAAAGAAGTAATTTATGTTTGACGAGCCGTTACTTTAAGAGTCGCATACTTGGCTGTATTAAACACAGATCGATAGTCTTTCATGTTCTTCGCTTAAAATACTTCCTATCCTCTGTTTTTCCTCAGTATAAATCTGTTGACATGTCTTAGATAAGTCCTTGGTGATTGTAGAGCCTGTACTAGTATAAGTTAGCTTTTGATGAGCTAATGTTGATAGTAGATAATTCACGATCGGTAGATTCACGATATAAATTCGCCGTATCTCTCCAAATGCCCTTTTGAGAAATGCTCGATTTTTTTTAGTGTGGCTATGCCGCGAATGGTGTGTGGATTTGTAAAAGAATCTAGCCTATTTGTAGAAGCTAGATAGATTCGACGCGTTCGATCTTAAGACTTTGCCGGCTTTACGAAGGTCCGAAGAAGCATGAAGCGACCTTTGAATCGTTGCTTAGAAACATGAATGACAGTAAGACAATAGATGTCAAAAATGAAAAGGTCCCGGATATAATTTGAAGCATACCACAGACGAAAAACGTCGGTAATTTAAGACATGGTCTTCCTTTGGAAGCCCATGTAATAATTCCATAATGTACAAATGATATTTATGGTTTATAGATTTGAACTAATGTAGCTATATTATTCTAGCAAGTAATACTAAGACTGTGACTATATATTTATCTTCATTATCAATATGCAATTCAAACTTCAGAAAAACAGCAAAAAACAGAAGTAGATGTTAAAATGACAAACACGTTGTAATTTGTGAGATATGTAAAACGGTAGTGTAGTGTATTTTATCTCGATTTATTAGAAATCAATGAATAAGTGATATTTATGGTTTATAGATCCTTTGAACTAGTGTTTGACATTTATAGCTGAATTATCCTAGCAAGCAATACTAATTATGACAGAATCGTCTCGAATGTATTTATTCATATTGATATACTGATATACAAGCGTCAGAAAAACAGGGTTTTTTTGTTGATTTACTAAAATTCTAAGGCATTATAATTATCAAAGTTAATTGTTGTCTTTTAAGATATACATGTAGTAATAGTTATTACGAAAATAAAATGTTAAATCATGCAATGACGTTTGTTTCCTTACTTCAGTTTGTTTATTTTAAATTGAATGTCTATCTCAGTATGTCTTGCTCTTTTTCTTTTCTCTTATTTTGTTTTTCATCTTATTTTTCTTTCCTTTTCTAACCTCCCTTACTTTCCTCTTTTCTGTTAATTTTTCGTAAATATAGTCAGTTTTTTCCCAAACAAAAATACAATGTCATCACCGTTAATAATGTCAATATTCCGTACGTTTTAATACCAAATATAAATGGGTGACCAGCTTTCTGTATTGAAAATTATCCGTAAAAGCTGTTTTATTTCTTTCTATTTTGATCAGTCATAAASAGAATGATTAACACACTTCACCTGTATGCACGAACTCATGACATGAATGACAGTAATTAGAGCTGCATCGGTGCTCCATGGAATAGTTAACTAGTCRAGGAAAATAAWATCATCAAAGTTGTGAAAAATATTAATTCAATTACGAGTAATGCATTGGAACATGGCAAATAATAGCCGCCATTGGAAGTCTTTACTCTCTCGTGTTTCACATAAATAAATTTTWGTATCAAAACAATATTTTCCCGACATTGGTCTTCATATTAGTACTACTGTCGCCATTTTGAATTGATTTTTCTCTGTGTTTGGCTTGGGGTTCCTGTGTCTAGGGACTGAACTACGTGTCTTTGAGCAGACTTTGAAAATGTTGTTTTTAGATTCCRGTGTTTTTATTAATACACAATATTTCAGGACACTWAAATATTCCTTGTTATTAAAATGGTGAATTATTCAAATCCAACTAATTTCTTGAATTCTGGCTTTTATCAAAATGTCCTTTATACATGTTTATGTACTGGAAAACTTAAAGAAATTGAATTGAGTGAAAAATTCAAAGCCTTTGAACACAAATATATGATTAACATTTCCTCAATGGCTTTTTATCATTTTTTGTATATACATATTCGAGAAGAGAGCTGTATGCACGTGTGTTTATCAACAGAATGGCAGTAATTAGATCTGTCTTGGTGCTCCATGGAATAGTCATCTAGCCAAGGCGGATTAGTAATGAAGTTATGAATATTATATGTCGTGAAATATCATTACTGTCTTATTTTCATTAATTTTTTAAAGTAGTACACCTCACGAAAACATTCATTTTGTTTATTCATTTTCTTATTCCTTTGCTTCCTATTCCATCCCTTCTTGTGTAGTACATGACTATCTTTTCCTCATCATTGGTACATCTACTTATATCAGCTATTTTCTTATATTGATCACTCTTACCTCAAAAATAAACAGCTGTGTTAAACTGTTTAAGTTTTTTGTACGCAAGCATTAGAACTAAGAATTAAAGAATCCTATGCGTTTACTTGCTATTTTGTTACCGAGCTTTCAGCGTAAGCGCCCATTAGAGAGTTTTAGATACGCGTTTACGGCGAACGCCAAAAGTCAAAACTGATCACTTGATCACTGTCTTTCTGTATTGACGCTCCGTTCTTTCGCGATTGTGTATTAAATAGATCACTTCTTCGTGCCTAAGCGCATCACTATTCCTTTCGAAGCGTTTTGACGTTTGTTTGAAGTTTTGAGACAAAGCATAAAAGCCAATTTGACGTTTTTTGGTGTTTCTAGTAAACGTGAATATAAAACTCTCTAATATCAAGGTAGAGTAAAAAAAACGAAAGCGCAGAGGATTCTTTAATTTTTAGTCGGTGTTACTCTCTTGGGAATGACATTTTCTCAAAAAGCTTTTTCTCTCTAGAGTGACAGAAATTAAATCTAACTAGCTTGGTGGTCCACAGTAAAGTTTAGTAAAATAGAACATTGCCAATAGTATCGACGTCTTGTCTTATCAAGTTTAGGCGAAAAAATAACTCACCACACGATTTCTTCCTTCTTAGCTTATCATTTACAAATTCTTTTTTCCTTCCATCCTTTATTTCTTGCGTACATTACTTAGTTTTATGAATTTGATAAAGAAAAAAACTGTCACGTTACGATTTCTTGGCACTTCGGTTAGAGTTAATAAGGAGTCTCCAAACAGTCGTATTATCTTGAACTGACGGTAGATCTCGGTTTCTTCAAGTTATGGAGACTGAAAAAGAGCTTGAGGCAGAAAATTCTAATGAAGCAGTTTAGAGGGAGTGAAAAGAATATCGACACAATTGYTTTGAAAAGCGAAGTCCTTTGATCATTTTTACCCTTCTTTTCTCCTATCAATTTGCTGTTTTTGTCCAAAAAATGTTTGATCTTGGTGAGTTTTTATTACGAACCGCCATCTCGAAGCGTAAAATAAATCGAAAAAAGCCGACAATATGGACATCGCTTATCACGATTTCTTTTCATTTGTTTATTTTTTCATTTGTTTATTTTTTCATTTATTTTTTCATTTGTTTATTTTTTCGTTTGTTTATTTTTTCATTTATTTTTGTAGAGATTCTTTTTATCGTGCTTTTTTCTTAAGTTTTTTGAAAATTTCCTCATCTCAATGGAACATTAAAAAACATTAAGACTCAAGAGTATTTTCGAGGTTTTCAAAGAACTTCAAAGAGTAGCGAGATCATCATCAAAAATGTACACCAAAGACACTGTAAACGAGCTTTATAAATTTTACGAACTTGCAATTGAGACGTTCAAAACCCGTTGATGCCGCGTCCGCGTCCGAGTATCGGGACTGGTATTAGACAGTTTGTGTAGACTGTTATCGTCGATGTAGCCTTAGAAGGGTCTCGCTATTTCTTTTATCTATTATATTCTTAATGGTTTAATTACTTGTTAATCTTTGTATCATTTACATTAGCTTGGAACCTTGACCGTACAACAATAAAGTTACGAAATATGTTGTGAATCGTGTTGTACAAAACATTTTATTTTCGGACACATTGTTTCGTATGTGGTTCGTACAATAATGGAGGCAAGATTATTACAAAGAGATGCAGCAGCCCTATAACGTTTACCTAGCATGTTACTTCCCTTGAAATTCTACAAGTTTATAACAGTTTAGGAAGATTTCTCAGCCTCTCAATGTCTAGTATTCTATCTGTAGCACTTGGAGGTTCGGGGGTCGAGGGAGGAGCATTGCATTGTATCGAAGCTTTACTCTTATCTAATACACTCTTTTCGACCATCTTTTTTTGATGTRCTCGTCCGTTCAGGTTGTATCTCTGTAAATAGTCCTGCGTTGCTGAAGACAAGTCATTCCATGTACAGTTTGTCGCATTTGAATTTCCTCCCCCCTCCCCCTGACCGTAGTCACTACAATAGTCATTTACTAAATGTCGATATTCGTCGATTTGACTTTGGCTCAAGTATTCAGCATCRAGAGGGTTGAGTTGTAAGACAGAATTGCCCATCCTTTCATTGATTGACATGGAGGGATAGTGAAGACGTGGTAGACCGGAAATGACGTCATTTGGCGCAAAGGACTTCGATTGTCGATCTTGAAACCTAAAATAAAAGAAATCAATAGTCAATTACAGTCGTTTGAAAAAAACCCGTCAGCACCTTAAATATCTATGGAATGTTGGTAGGGATGTAAACAAGCTCATTGCCTGCTTTCATGTCCGAGCAGGAGGCTGGGTTCGAGTTTTAAAATTGTAAAAATCGCCTATATAATTTACCTATAGGGAGAATCTACGTAGGACTCAGTTGATGTAATATATTCATAAAGATATAATACAAAACACATAATACAATAGAACGAGAAACAATGGAATACAATACATTTTATGAATACATTACATCAACTGCGTGCTACGTAGGTCACCCCGTTGCCCGTTGCCTATATCACCTTGAAGGGCACATCAAAATTGTTAATATCCCCAAGTTTGGTTTAGTTCGGATGACTATCTAAGAGCTTGAAGCTGTTCAAAAATGTTAAAATTTACAAAGGAATGTATAGATTCTGGGGAAAGCATTCCCACAATCTATAGATGTACATTTGAATAAGAGAGTTTTTGAATGTCTATGATTTTTTTAATTTTGTTTAGTTTTTTTTAATATTGACTCGATTTTCACCAAACTTTGTTTTTTAATTGATTTAGATTTGCTCTTTCAGGTAATGTAGGTCACACACCGATTTGTGCAATTTTAAAACTTGTACCAACTTTCGTCTTCGAACATGAAAGCTGGCAATAAACTTCTCCTGTAACCATGGATACGAAGATCAGTTTTCCTTTGAATTGTCATCAAAACAATGTTTGGATTTTTGTCTTATTTTTACCAAAGAATTGAAGTCACAAAATGCTTTTAACATTTCAGACATATTTTAGCTGATCACGGTGCTTTTCAAACGACTGTAACAGTTAAAATCGCTAAAGCAAAACTAATAAAATAGTACTCTGGTCAGAAAAATACGCACACCGATTTGTGCAATTTCAAAACTTGTACCCAGTTTCCTGCTGGGACATGAAAGSTGGCAATATCTAGATAAACTTGGTCTATATACAGATATAGTAGCCCTGCTATATATAATTCAGTGATACTTTGGAAATTAGACTCCGAAATAATTACGGAGTAACTCTTAATTACCGGTAATCCTTAAAACCGAGTAAATTWATTATTTCGGCATTCACTAAACTTGAGTACAAACGAGATAACTAGAAAAGCAAATTTTACTAGACAAATTTTCGACTTCTATCACGAATAGACCATAGTTCGATAGCCAATCAGAATGGTGGAATCATAGYGACAGTTTATAGTTTGCAGGGCACTAATGTAAACACTGAAATCGTGAAAAAGTACTAACCAAATAGTGCTAAAGATTGTAGAATAGGCCAGAGAAATAAGAATTCTCTGAAAGAAGCAAATCTGTTATTAATAACATTAATTAACCTTAGAGGTTTCTAATTGCGTTGCTTTCTTTTGTCTATTTTTTTTCTAATTTATTAGTCAAATTTTGTTTAGCAGTGTTTTTGAAATGGTTTCTCTGTAATTACGTACAATTTAGCACTATAAGATTTTTCAYGATTCAAGGTTTTGCACTCCAAACGTTGACATTTATGTGTGGTCGAGTGATGTAGTTTTTTAAAGATAATAAGTTGTATGGTATAACGTACGTATTCTTGCCAACATCGTCTACAGAATTGTCCTTCAACCTCGCCAGCTCYTGTACAGTTGCCTGRATCACCTCCTCTCTGGTAGGTACGTGMACYGCCGARAGGTCTCTTGATTTATTGTCCTTTGTCGAGCTATCAGTAGTTTTTCCTTCTCCAGGGCTTTCACATAGCAACTCTTTCACCTTGTTCTACACGTTGAGCAAAGAAATCATTTAGATAAGGGATAACTATTTATTCAGACAGACAGACTACTAAAACGATATTTTTTCAATTTTCAGTCGTTGTCTATCTATCGCGTTAGTTATTGAGATTTTGTTAACTATTTCCATAAATCACTTGAATTCGATTAATGAGAATCATCAGAATGCATTCTTTCTCATGATTTAAGGTTCGCGTCGCTATAGGAACTCCTTATGAAAGCGGCTAATTAAATTACTTTGTAGACATCATTTAATATCTCGAAAGTGAGCTTTTAAAAGAATAGATCTCTGAAGCTTTTGCGTCATATACGGTATACGCAATGCATTGTAGGATATGGTGGAAMCTGACGGTAAACTAGTGTGAGCTGCGTCGGTGTTTCTAAAGAAACACTTGTAAAAAGATCAATTTAACAACATAAAAACCAGGTGAAACAACTTGATGTGTGTGTTTTATTTTTACGTCTAAACGGCCGATTTTCGTATGTAAATGATTGCAATGAGATGATCGCAGTGCATCGTGGTTGGCTAAGGTTCTTTAGCAAATTAGTTAAAATATAACAGSCACCAAAGACAAATATCTCACCAACAGATTATCGTAGAACTGTTTTTCATTCTTCAACAGTAGGCTGTCGTATTGATGGTTTGCTGACTTCGTGGAAGCTTGTCCCTCTAGCAGCATGCTTGCACTTTCACCTGGGAAATAGTAACATGACTTTAGACTGCCAACACTAAAAGAGTGCAAAAGCAAATAGTGCTAAATATCGCTTAATATTATCCAAAATCAAGTATTCCCCCGCTCTCATTGGTGGAGAGTCCACCACATGACGCGATCGTGCCCGCTCCACAGAGCCCGCCGTTTAGGAAATTTCATTGTTGGATAATAAGAACAATAGATAAGATTAAATCTTGTGCAGTATTTWGTAAATAAACCCCTTCTGGCGGCTGGGATATCGGCTGATAATGTCCGAGGATGAGAAATGATCCGAAAAATGAACATTTTGGTTAATTCATTTGACAAGTGTTGACAAGGCGGCAAAATTCTCTACTGAAGTAAAAACTACAAATTTATTGCTGCGTTTAGCGTAAATTACAAGTCTTTTTAGACAGAAAACTTCGAAAATGAGTGTCTTTAGTTCTTTTACTTTGAGCTGAAGTAAAAATGATAACCATTAGACAAAGGATTTGCGAAATTAAGAGACACAGAACGAACTAGCSAGTGAAARTGTTTGTAAACAAACCGRCATTTTAGTGGCTAGTAATTTTCTCAACGTAAAATACGTTCACAGCGTACTTAGTCGACTTATTTGTATTTCCAGATGTCGTTTTGTCAACTAGTTTTTTATTCTCATCATCAGAGCTCTTTAAAAAGCGGTTTTGATCACTTTCCATAGCTTTTTTTGTGTCAAAAACAAATCTGAAAACTTACGCGGACAAATATCACCTTCGGACGGGGGATATGGCCTGATACCCGTCCGCCGAAAATGTACCACGTGAAGCCTTTGGACCAATGGATGCGCGTGAAAATATATTGTTGGGATATAAGCTGTGATGTCTGCCCTGAGAAAACCTTCATAATCGCCCTTCGAACTGCGACTATTTGTTTTTGGAAAATCTGGTTTCAGCGAGCAACTAGATTACGGYATAATCTCCTCGATACTACTCTCCTCGAGCTACCGATGTTTTAGTACACAAAAGACCAAAAACAAAAGAAAGCATGGAAAGAAGCTGATGTTACAATAGCTCTCGACATTTGAATCTTCTCCGATTTAAGGCTAAGCTTACAATCCCTCAAGAGTCACAAGAGTCCCAAGCTCAAATYTGGAGAAAATACAAATCTGAAGGCTATTGTAATGTTAACGTTTTCCGTTCATTTTCTTTTGTGYCTGCTGCTAATGATTGTTATCAACTAAAACAGCGGTCGCTCGTCTTGAAGGTGTGGGGTGGGGGCAGGGGAGGTTTTTCTGTTCTTACCTAAAACAGGACTTGAGTCGTTTAAACGGCTACACTGCCTTGTAGAAGGCTCAGGACTGAACTCACATATATCAACAGCATGTATAGATGATGCTAGTGTTTGGTTGGTATCATCTAATTTACTAACAACGAGCTCATCTGCGTCGATGGTCTGATCGAGTCGATGACTGTCTAAAGATTGGTTGGATGCACGCTTCGGGTCACTTGTTACGCATTTAGACGAGGAGCACTTGGGAMTTTCGATGAAACTTTCGCTGTAGAATAAGAACAACCATGAAATCATAAAATTTTACTGTAATTAATACTTATCTATCGTGTTGATTAGTAATTATTTTATACATGCACCTATTCTTCGTTTTCATTAAATTTCACAGCGATCATCTGGAAGGAACTTCTACAAAGGATTTCTCATTAGTATCTATTGTGCATTCCTCCGACATCGCCGCCGATCTCTTATCTTTTCAAACTCATACGAATGGTTATATAAGAGGTCAAGTGACAAGCAGCTAAAAGCAGAAAGGAATATATTTCTTCTTATAAATACAAACGTTTTTGTATATACTTTTTAGTAGGGCATTGAAAATAAAAAATTATCATATAATTATCTATGGAATACCTATATTTCTCCATTTCGTAAAGTTGATATTTTCACTAGTGAAAATAACAAATTCGAGGTTTCTCTATATAATTGAAGTAAGAAAAAAAGGTATTTTACGACATAATTTGGTTTTTTATGTATTATATGATAAACAGAATATTAAATGGTCGCTTGGAGATACGAATTTTATCTTCTCGTGTTAAAACTCTTTTCAACACTCGAAGATAAAATTCGTATCTCCGCGCGCCCATGCAATATCCTCTATAAATATATCATGTCACTGTGATAGCAAAGGCTTTTGCGGTTTTGTGCAAAACTCAAAATATCGGCATCAAAAATCTTAAGTTGAATCTCTTAGGAGCAAGCGCAGTGCGTTTCTCCCAGGTGTTGAACGCGAGAACTCTAACAGGTGCTGAGAATAATAGTCACACCACTCAACTTTGTCTCATTATTTTCTCTTTGGAAAAATCTTGTGACTAAAATAAAACGTTCGATTTTTGACTTATGAAAATCAAATTTTTCCATCTCAAAATGCCGGCGTCTTTCTTATCGTTTACGCCAATAAATATTGGAGTCTTGCAATTCTTCCACCGTATTTAATCGGGCAAATGAACCGTAGCCGTAGCCGCGGCTACAAGTGAGGGTTTGTGTGGCGGGGTATTCGATAGTTGTACCTAATAGAACACCCACACAAGTTCTGACTAGACTTATTAAAATGATAACGCACAATTAAAGTTAATCAACGTTAAACAATATCAAAAAAGTGAAAAATACCAAAAGTCGCAACATAAAAAGTTGAATATATTGCTAGAGTATTCTCAGTATTGCTGTTATTATTGTTCTTATCACCAATCATTTTAATAAAATATCTTCTTCCACAGAAAACTTCGAATGCAGTTACTTGAAAAATACAAAAACTCGTATTCACGAAGCTAATATCGTTGAATATTGCCTAAAAATATCTTTAGGAAAATGTCGCCAGTCAGTAAATATGTTCTTGTCGATAGTCAGCAAATTTTGTTCAAATTTGTCGCTAGTCAGTTGTTATTTTGYTTATTTGTCGCTAGTCGCTTAACCCCATTCAGACCCTGTATTAAGCCTATGGCAGGAGCACGATGGTACAAGAGTCCTGGTACAGGTCCAGTCAGGATCAAAAAGTGTTTGTAATCTTTTGAACATTAACTTTCTGACGGAAAGCGAAAAAGCTGAAGAGCTGTAAAAAGCATCTGAACAGACAGAGTTACAAGTGAAATTCCATAGTTTGACAATTCGATTGAAATAAAAACCTTGGTATATTGTTGTTTTGCAAAAAGGCCTTTTCAGATTAAAGGAATTTTTACAGGTTCTTGTTCGAACATGCGATACAAAATTCACAAAGCCGGTTATTATTATAGATAATACGTAATATATAGAGTTAGATCTAGTAATAGTAATTACTACGATTTATTTCTCATGGATTACTTCAGAATTATACCGTGCGATACATAAGTAAAATATACCAATATATTATAATCTTTTAATCATCAAAAATGACATTTATAAATAAGCCCGATTAATCAATTCCAGCATAATATTTCATGATTTTGGCGAGCGTTTTTCAGCTGCAAAGTCGATATAATAATAATAAGTGTCCAGGAAATTGAATTGGATTAAGTCGCTAATCTTAATGCATTTTCTTGTCTCTTGTAAACTCATGGGAATTTCAAATTATCAGCAAAAAAAATCATTAAATCCTTCGTTCTGATTGGCTACGCTACTCGGGGTCTATTTTCAATAGTCCTCGACTAGCGAAAAGCGACAAATTTGTGAGTATTTTTAGCAATAAAAATATTAAGTTATTTATATATTTCATTCATTTTTTGTCCAACTAGTATGCTAGTACGAAAACAATTAGATCTCTCGGCCTCGTGGACTACGTTTTATTTCCCAGGGATTAATTAACAATTATACCGTGCGATACATAAGTAAAATATACCAATAAATTATAATCTTTTAATCATCAAAAAATGACATTTATAAATAAGACCGATTAACCAATTCCAGCACAATATTTCATGATTTTGGCGAGCGTTTTTCAGCTGCAAAGTCGATATAATAATTGTCTCAAAGTGTCCAGGACAATCTTAATGGAGTTCTTCTTGTCTCTTGTAAACTCATGGGAACTTCAAATTATCAGCAAAATATTATTAAATACTCTATACTGATTCTTCTCGACTAGAGCAAAACTCATCTCTTTTTTTCCCAATATGTATTCAGTTATTCAAAAGAGGAATTTCCTTTTAGCCATTATTCCATTCGTCATTTTTATGAGAAGCATTAGCCAAACAATGGACGCTGTAATACGAAAAAAAAAGAATGAATGCCAATTGTCCATAGTAAAAAAGGTGATGTTTTTGGGTAAATTTGTTCTATATT